TGTGATGTATTTTAAATCTAAATTTTATCTACAAAATCCAATCTAAGGATAATGGACAGTTGCTCAACCACGCATAACTCATGAAACATACGCACATGAACTCACAAAACCAAACTGCCGCCCAACTTCTATTTCTCCGATTGATAGTGTTCTTAAATTCAAATCTTCCACTGCTATAAAAAATTCAAGAAACCATACAATTTCTGCAAAAATTGAATCAATTGAACAAAAAAAATTTTAATAATGCAATATTTTGAAAGAAAAGGTTCTATAAGATGAAAAGGTATTAAAAATTTATTTTGGTAACTCTGTCTTTTAATTTGCATGTGTGTATTCATGGGATAATCAGTACCAAAACTCGATTGAAGAATTTATGCACCAAACATATTGTATCCTCAAATATGTTTCTCAGTGATATACTACAACATATATCACGTTTGCTTCTACGTTTTTTAATTTTCAAATCTGAATTTTTTGATTTGCTCTTCGTGTATTTTTTTTAATTTCTATGTGCATATTCATGGGATAATCAATAGCAAAAACATGTAGTTAAGTTGCAGCTTTTTCGAACTCAATAATTTTTTTATATTTGTTAGGATCCTGACTTCAATACTATTCAAGGCGTAGATGAAGAGAAGGAATGCGAGGTAAGTACATGCTCACTTTTAATTTGTCCTTTAAGATGACACTTATTTTACTTATATATGTGGATAGATATATTTGATAATAAAATTTTAGATCTGGTCAAACCCGGATTCTTCGAATGATACACTAAAGAACATGATTATTAGAATTCAAGGGTTTATATTCAGTAGTAATAAGTAGGCATATATGTGTATAGGGAAAAAACTGAATTTATATTGAAGGTGACGTGGCATGACACGTGGACTGGTCAAATGGTCAAAACATGATGATCAGTTAAGAGGCACGGGCGATATCAGATACGAGGAGAAGAAAGTTAAATAGGCACGAGATGCTATTCAAATGATACGAGTCTCGTATCTATTTAACTTAATTAAAGCCAGGAGGTCAGAAGGAATTGAAGATATGAATCTGATGGTATAAAGGAGTCTAAATTCAGTATTAAATGTCAAATACGTTAGCGAATCAGTATTGAATAGGAATGATTGTGTAACGTTTCATTTAATGTCATTTAATGCTCATAATTGCCTCTTTAAGGCTAAGGCATTATACCTTTTCCTAGAAAAATCAACTATAAAAGGAGGAGGTCTCAGCATTTGTAGGGACACGTNAATTTTAGATCTGGTCAAACCCGGATTCTTCGAATGATACACTAAAAAACTTGATTATTAGAATTCAAGGGTTTATATTCAGTAGTAATAAGTAGGCATATATGTGTATTAAAACTTAATAAATTGCATTAAGGATATGGTAGAGAACTAGGAAGTTTTTCTTTCAATTAAGCAAAAGAACCAAAAAAGAAACGAGTGAATTTCTCATGTAATTTTTCAGAATCATTATGGTACTGTTACTTTTATGCAAGTCAAGGATATGGTACTGTTAGTTTTATGCAAGTCAAGAATATTAGACGACGACATATGATCTGGAGCGTCTATGCAATATATTATTATAAAGAATATGGAAGAAAAGATTATGCCTAAATGTTCGAAACGTACTCTCAAAGGAAAAAATAATACGCTTTTAATTGATGCAATGAGAGGACTTTGGTCTTTCCCGTGGCTAATGCTATATATACCTTTTTTTCTATTATCTCTCTCCGCTCTTTTTCCTTTGAACTAATCCGCGCATCGCGCGAGTAAGTATACTAGTACCTAAAGAATAAAAAGCAACAATCTGTGATGACAATTCATGTGTACGCGGCAAAAGCATGAGAGGAGAGGATATATGCTTTGCTTTTTTGAATTTCCTTTTATACCCACCCTCCTCTTCTTTTTTTTTAAAGTTTAAACNAGCAAAAAAGAGATTTAACTTCCCCACTCCCTCACGTAAAAGACTCCAACTCCCTCACGTCTCACACGATCAGCACATACCTATCTATATAACCCACACTTCACGAATGAGGAGGGGAGTTTTTTTGTTTTTTTTAAAAAAAAAGGAAACCTAGAACGGAGAAGTTCTATAACCTCCAACTGTTAAATGTCTTAAAATAACTGCCTTAATTTTGGCCAAATTCTTTCAATGTGTATTTAAACTCCACACACACTGATATCCTTCATCCTCAATAAATAATGTTATCCAGGTTGGCTTTCACTTTTTATCTGTTTTACTCTTTCACTGCATACGCAGAAGTCTTATAGGCATGATAACTATATGAAAGTGCAGAAGTCTTATAGGCATGGTAACTACATGAGAAATACTGAAATTAGAGATTCCTATAGGCAAGTTATCTACCCTTTTCATGCATAGTTACCCCTCCCTTTTCACTAAACATCCCCGAAAGTTTATTACAAAGTTTATTACAGCTCAAAGAGAATAAAGAAAAAAAAATACATCAGAAATTGAAAATTACAACCAAGGAGAGCCTGATTCAGACTTCCTGTCTGAAGTATGAAGTAAACCATCTCCAAAGATTAGATTTCAAAAGCCTTTCTCTCATTT